GGAATGAAAAATATTAAAATACCTTTTGCCCATGAATGCCCGTTAAACCAATCAAAGGATCGAAATACGGGGAAATATGAATCTTCTTCGGAAGGATTTGCAACATCACGAATTAAATTATAAACCCAATCTTCATTTTGTTTTCCCCATTCTTCATCTAGATGGCGTAAAATAGCTGCAGTGTATATTAAATATCCGTAATGGAATTGATGATCGCTTTTATGATGAGAATAAATCGCGTTTCATTAACATGCACTAGAATATTGATAATAAATGCGTTAAGGTATCAATCGTATTATTTACTTATACCAAGTGTTGCCAAAATCGGCAGTAGGACCTTTCGTGAGTCCATCGACGCAAACAATTCCTTTCCATGTAGTATCATAAACTAGTTTCGCTTGTTGCTGATTCTGAGTGTAGGTATCCATTGTTTTCTAACATAAATGGGAAGTTGAAATTGTTAATGTCATTGAAATCAAAAATCATAGGACAAAAAACACAAACCTTAAGTTTATCAACGCAAGTAGCACCAAGGTTTGGTTCATCCAGTCCTTCGCTCAAAACCAAACACAAAAGGGCAAATTTCGATAGCCTCTTTCCCGAAAAATATGTTGAATCCGTTGAGGTTTCATTACTAAAATCCAACTCCAAATCTTTTTTCGCTTGTTCCAAAATCTGTGTTTTTTTATCGGTGGATAACCTTGATTGACAATTTTTTGGTAAGAATTCAATATTGATAGGTAAATTTGGTTCAATAAATGTCCATTTATTGCCAATGTATGCTATAGCTTTGCCTTTTGTGGGAGTGGCAAGTTCGATTGAGGTTTGAGATAGCGCGCCTGTGAAAGATTCACGGTGATGAGGGAGTGAGTATATTAAGAGGGATTGTGATTTGTCGCCGTCAACCTTCCAATCGAATGAGTAGGTGCTATAAAAGTGTTAAATTTTATTCATTGTTTATTTATTTATTGTTAGGGATAATTGTTTTAATAACACACCCGTTAGCGCTAGCTTGAAGGTCAGCACCAATTGGATAAATTCCAGTATGTTTATCAAACACCGATTCGGCTTCCTGATTTCCAGCGGGCACTTTAGTCACTTGAATAATCCCTGAATATTGTCCCGAGGTAGCTTCCAATTGGTTCGATGAGCTTGCCAATGTCAAGTTTCCACTAGCATACAACAACCACACACTATCATCATTTAAAAGGATCTTCCATTTAGTATATCCATTAGCAATTTTCTGCGGTAACTCTATTGTTTTAAATCCCGATTCTGAATGGAATAACGGAGTTAAGTCTTTATATTCTGCTGTGATAAATGACATTCCACGGGAGATCGGAAAGGAGATATAAGAGCTGGTGTAACTATGAGGAAATAGGTTGATGGTTAAAGAGAATCCTGACATGTCCGATAAGCTAAGCTTATGGTCACTTCCAAGTTCTTTGGCCGAGAATACGATAGTTGGGGTGTATATACTATAGTAAAATTTTGCAGGATCTTGATTTGGGTCTGGTCCAAAAACCTATTTACGTATTAGATTATTTAAACGGCGATATTAGTGTAATCATGATTTATCTAGCATAAGCAATTTCTACTCTGAGACACGAACCTTCTTATAATCATCAACGTGAGAAACACTGAATCCATAAAAATCGCCATTTTGTCCTTGCTCCCATCTCAATCCATAAGGCAACGGCCAGATAGGATTTTGTCCATTATCTAATATTAAGTTGTCATAAAATTTATTAGTTGGTATTGGTTTTGTTTGATTCCCTGCTCTAAGATCTAAACGAGTTGGTTTTATGACGTGTTCATGACGGTCAAACAATTGGGGCGGTGGATCGGTTGGAATTGGCGACAAAACATCAAAGTCAGCGTTTGAATCTTGTAACATTTTATAGTTTGAAAAATGTGAAAGACGAGACAGATTCCATGATGGCTCTTTAAAGTTTTTACGTCGATGATAATTTGGTGAGCAAAGAATGGAAAAGGTAATGATTTCTAAAAAAACTATTAATATATTTTTTATAAACTTTGATAATTTCATTATCAATTAATAAATTAAAATTTTAATTAATCTCGATATTTTTCTCTCCTTTTTTTTTTATTATTTAAAAAAAAGTGGCATTATTTGCATAAGCCTATAATTTATTTGAATTTTCAATTATCGAATCTTGAAAAAGAATCATCATTTTATTTCGCCATCATATATTCTGATTAAATATGGCAATTGCTAATTTAGCTGATATAAAGTTATAAATTATTTAGCGTCACACAATTATAGTAAACGCGAATGAATAAGAATAATATGAATTCATGAGATAACGTAGACTACAAAGGTACTGTACGTATCATATTTAGACGTGTTACAATTTAATTGATTGGGTGTATCGATTTACAAACATAGTACAGATGATATAATAATGATCATACGTATATACTACATACGTACGTACGTATGTAAAATAAAATCTATATTTAGTCCTATATGAAAATCAATTAGTAAAGATTTTCGATAAAGTTTCTGATTTTATTATTTTTCTGGTTATGAAAAAAAGCTCTCTATTACATCAAAATAAGCTATCCATTGAACTCATGCGGAATTTCTAAATAAATTAATATATAGAATATCGAGAAAATATATGCCGATTTTCTACAAAGAATTACAAACTGTGCCCATCAGCTTACGTAATATTTTTGATCGAGATCAACCGAAAAGCAAAACAAAAATCCAAAAAATGGCAGTCTAA